CGGGGAGGCTATGGCAGTTGTGCCAGAGATCAGGGACCTTGGGATCAGTTTGAATTCCACTTTTGACTCCTCTACCCAATGTATTGCTGCGGCACGTACGACCAAAAGAGTGTTATTCAGGTTGAGGCGCACGGTGACGTCTAGGGATTTTGTCGTTCTAGTCCCGCTCTACTTGGCCTTAGTTCGGTTACACCTAGAGTACTGCGTATAAGCTTGCTCCCCAGCTCTGAATAAGGACCAAAAGGTTCTGGAAAGGGTGCAGAGGAGGTTCAAGCGCTTGGTCCCGCACCTTCGGGGAGCGACATATGTCGAACGCCTTCCGGGGCTGAACCTGTTCTCACTCAATCGGAGAAGGCTGATGGGCGACCTGATTGAAACCTTCCGGGTTTCTCTCATGGAATCTCCCACGTACTCCAGTGGAACGATGTACCCAACAGAGGGGGACACAGCATGAAGTTAAACAGGCCTCGGGCACTCAAACGCCTGAGAGTCACCTATTTTTCGCACCGGGTAATTAATACATGGAACAAACTGCCGCAGGAAGTAGTGGCGTCAAAAACCATTGCGGAGTTCAAGCTGAAGCTTGACGCATGCTGGGCATCAACGTTCCCCGATGGTACCTGACACCGAGCCTATGGTCGCAAATGGCTCGTCCGTCTCCGTGCCCCTCTTTATATAAACTTCTTGTCTCACACTTCACTTTGATTTCTCCAACTCCCTGAGCTCCATTTTTATTCACTGTTCACCACACTTTACTGAAACTTCTCAACATCCAGTACCACCACTTTTAAGTCATATTTCTTCTCCACAGCACATCTCCTACTGTGGTTAGCTTCAAGCGGTTGGTTGCGAGCTGTTACTTTTATCCTGAAAAAACCTCAAACGTGTATTGTCACTCAGAGGAACCACCAGAAGTGCGTTTTCCTTTCCCAGAACAGCACACACTCACGTACACGTAAACGAAATAACACAATTGTCGCAGCGCCGTGGTGCTCCCAAGCTCATTGGTGCAAGAAACTGAAGTGATTCTGGCTCCGCTGCAAGTCCGGTGACCTGCCCTGTCCTGTCCTGTCCTGTCCTGATCTGCTCAAATACGACTGCGGTACGTTGGCG